ACTGATGAGGAAAGATAAGAACCCAGATCTTCCATTTTGCTTACCTAATAAGAACTGCCCTTAAGAAAAATAACTGCCTTAAATTCCAAAATCTGGGCTACACTGTGGTCTCCCTCTGTTTCCAAACCCTGAAGATTTACCTCACTGACATCATTACAGGGATTATGACAGGAAAGGACTCAGAGATAGTGCTATCACACCAGAGACAGACAGACCCACCAATGGAAAACACCCCCACGCACACTAAGAACTGACCCAGTGTTTTTATTTTGGGACCCTGGAAGGAATAAAATGTCGTAAGGCTAATGAATACTCTCCCGTGACACAGTTTGGCCCGTAAGAACTCATCTGTCACCTCACAGAATTAAAAAAGGGGAGGATCCAAAATAATAAATGATGACAACATCCAAAGGCCCAAGTCTTCTCTACCAGTGACCTCTGCTGCAAGAATGCAAAGAAAATGTGTGACTCACAAAGAGTGGGGGACAGGAAGGCGCCACTGAGATAAGTCACCGATACAGGCTGCAGAGTCTGCCAGGTGCCGGGGGTCCTACAAAGCCTGCACGCCCATCTTGCACACGGGCCGCTCTTTAGCAGGTTCCCCCTTTGGCGGGCACCTGCATTTCCCACCCCGCACACCAGCGGGGTCATGTCCCAGGGACATGCGGACCATTCGTATGGACGTCTCTTTTCAGTCCAAGACATCAGAGACAACACGCGAAATGGGGCACAGGATGATCTCCAGACCTGTGGTCCACTTACTCTGCCGGGGCAGTTTATCCCCAGAGAACATTCATGCACATACTGAACCTACAAGACTTTCAAGAAGAAACTCTGCAAAACGGAAAAGAGAAAGGAAGAAATGACATATTACAGCGGTCCTCCCCTTGCCACCCCGTCTCATAAGCATGGAGGAAGACAGGCTGCTGTTTGAGTTTTGGACCGAAAGATTCAGGACTATGCAAGGAAGCCATAGGTCGTTTGCACACGAGGACATTACAGAATTCTCCAGAATCATCTTGCCTCCACCACTTTCAACTTATGCCCTCTGCCAACTGTGTTACAGCAGTGGAACTGAGAGAACCTTCTGTGTTCAGGGGCCGCAGGCAAGCTGCCAAAGGATAAGCACTTCTAGAACAGATAACCAGTAATACGCTTATGAATATACTAGTATATTTTAATACATAAAACATACACAGGAGTTTCTATGATTAAGAGATACAAACAGAAAATAATATGAGCCCACCTAAAAACCTTAAAGCACATTTTTTTTTTAATTAGAAGGAAATATATCACCATATTAACTTTGCCTTTGGGGGGTAATTTTACTGTTTTGCTCACCTTGCTTCTAATCAGGAATGAGGGAACAAACGAGTTCTAGCTTAGCAGAATGCTAGCTAATCCAGAGTTAAAATGCAATGATTTATACATTGGCAAAAGCTTCCCCTGCAAGGCACTATGCGGGTAAATCCAGATTTTCCATACATAACATGTACTGAAAAGTAAAGTACCCAGGAAATGAAGTAATATCTATATTTGTTTCAAATGACTAACAAGCAAAATAAGGCTTTGGCCATGATGCCATGCTTTTTAGAAATCAGACATATAATAAGCCACAGATTTATAGGATGTGGTCTAATAAACCTACGAAAAGTTTCATTTCCTCTTACCAAACTGGTTAACTCCCTGTCTATGTGACTAGCTTTGCAAATTTAGCAGAAGTCTCTTTTTTCCCCTCAAATTTATAGGCTGAGAGGTTAATGAGCAAGTAGCAGCAATTCTGTGACCCCTCTGAAAACACACAGGCGCATACACCTAAAACTGAATAAGAACAGGCTCCAGCAAAAGGGTAGGGTCAACCAAACATGAAGAAAGGACTGAGAATACCATCTTGCTAATCCAAAGCCACTGAACAGATCAGGAAAAGTTTACAAAAATCCTGAAGAGGAAGGAAGCAGGGAATAAGGGAAGGGTTCAGAAAAAGAACTTTCTAAAAGTCTGTTTGCAAGTATTTCAGTGGAAACAGTATTGACTAAGCAATTACAGGAAAAAACATTTTCTTTCTTATCTGAATGTGGCCATGCCTTGGGTCACACCCTATTATTGTCACTATTGGCCATGTTAATAGCCCCAATGCAGTGACTTTGTGTGGCTAGCTTTAAAAATATACATGAATAGCTAACTAGAAAGTGAGTCATGCCTGCTCAGGTGGGTATTGACTTTCTTAGTCATATTTACACAACTAGTCTACCGATCTGAATTCCTATAGAAAGAGATCTAAAAGGTTAGAACCAAGCTGCCTTGCAAGGAAAGAAGAAAGAACAATGAATGTTTAAATGGATGGAGTTGGAAGTATCCCAAATGTGAGACATGAAAACTGAAAAACTGGATGCCCTGAATCGGTAGTTCCCTCCCAACAAGCAAGGCCAGATGTTAAACAGGACCAAAGGCGTTCTCCTTGAACCATGGACAATGGCCATGTACGGTGCTCACTCTCCGGTCAAGTTGCTTAATCTCTCTGGGGCTCATTTATCTTGTCTGCAAAACGGAAATAACTCAGAGTGGCTCCTTCTTAGGCTTGTTGTTCAGTTTTGAATTGTGAATACGGTGGTACAAATCTTTTTTATTAGCGCCTGGACCATAGGAACCTGGTGTTAAATGTCAGGGGATCTCCCTAGATACCCGGGACAGCGAGCCTGGCTTCTATTCCATTACACCCTGTTTTTACAGATCCAGGAATTGCATTACAGAGGAGCAAGCACCTTGCCAAAAAAGGTGATAGAAGGCTGGGCTCAAACCTGTTTCTCCTGGCCGCCAATCACGGGCACGTTCCACCTCGCTCCCCAGAGCCATTTCTAGCACTTGTGCTGTGGGCGGGGATTTTCACACCCCACTGAAATTCCTGAAGAAGCAAGGACTAGAGCACACAAACTTCCACAAAGTCCTACGTGCAAAGCAACTGCTGCAGCAACTGCCCATGCCATGGACTTAGGTCAGTGTGCAGGTCCCCGAGAACCCTGCTGGTCCTACACCTCTCAGATACCCGCTCTCCTGACAAGCATTCCCTTTCTTTACAGCTCATGTGACGGAAACTGAGGCACAGGGCAATCGGGTAAACTGCCCGAGTTGGTACAGTCCACAGCAGTGTGTTTGTGTCCCGCGTGTCCACAGTTCATATTTGGGCCTCATGCAGAACGGCTGCATTTTGGGACTTCCCTGGGAGACGTTTCTCTGTCCTGAAGACAAGGCTGAAAACTGCTTGCCGTCACTGGCGCCAAGAACTAATCAGCTCCTGCGGACCTTGAATTATAAGGAAGAAACCCAATCTTTCTCTTTCAGTTTCCTCATTATCAAAATGGGTACCCAGTTCTCCTTTATCTCCCTCCTAACTCTGACCAGAGATTAATGAGTTAGCATTTGCCAGGTCCTGGTGGGTGAACAGCCTTTTACTCTAGAAGGTTGGCATGAACAGCCATGCTTTATTAACAGCAGACCAGGGAGGGGCTGTGCGGGAAAAAAAAAAAATCTCCCAGCGGGCATGGGCAGTGTCGAGGGTCCCCCTGCTCTGTGAGGACACACCACTCCAGGCAGTCTGGGTCAAGCATGGTCAAGCATGGCCGAGCACAGGCCTGGGCAGAGAAACAAGACAGCGAGAGAAGTTCAGAAGACTTTAGAACTGTCTTGCACTCTTGATTCCCATCCGGCTTCTGTGAGCGGTCACACTGCAGGGTTTCCACAGGACATCAATCGTGAGTACTAGCTGGGAAGCCGCACACGTTAAAATACAGAAAGGCAACCTTGTTGTGGTATCAAGTGAGAAGAAAATACAAACGTGTCAGGTACAATTCCAACTTCAACATCTTTAAAGATGAATGCACATGAAGGAAAGGTAGACATCCAAATATGAAGAGATTATCCACACACAGTAAGAGAGTGGGGTTTACATTTTCTTCTACATACTTTTCCACATGTCTCTAAGTTCTCTTAAATAGTTATTAACTGCTCCTTACACTGTCACACACATAAGGATAATTTACTCCAGTTTTCCAAAGGCAAGACATAGATGCATGCGTGTTCTTTATCACTCCAGGTCTCTGCCCACTTGAGAAACCACATTTTCTGCCCCAGTAGCCTTAGCACATAGCACAGCACCCAGCACCTAATAGGGATACATAAATATTTTAAAAAGATAGACAGACACTGTACCGACTGGCTCATGAACATTCACTTGTCTTAAAAAAGAAAAAAAAACCCACTAACATTAGTACTAAGTTATTTGCTGTTTAAATCTAAGGATTACTTTTAAAAAATTTCATCTGCATTGCCCTTTGCTTTCTTGAAGATAAAAGCATGTTCTCTGGGACTGCTAATTTGAAGAGAACTGTCACTCGTGAGCACAGAGCAGTGTGGGGTATTGACGTGGTATTGAATTATTTAAAGGAAATTAACAATGCTTCCTGTCCTTGGAGAGCAACATCTGTGAGAAAAGCTATTCACGGCTGCCTCCGGTAGGAATCCTTGCGGAGGAGGAGCGAGCCATTTCTCAGCACCCTGAGTTTTAAAAGAAAAATCTCTTAAGTTCTAAATTACTAATAACAAAGGCAAAGTTTAGGTGGTAACATCCCTCCCCCGGGAGCTATAAAGAGTCCCAGGAAATTACTTCCTGGGGGTCAAGTTTAATGGGATGACACGCTGCTCGTCATTCTCACGGAAGCCCTCGTGTCACACTGGAGCGTGTGGCCTTTGCGGAGAGCCGGGCACCTGGAATGCACAGTAGCACCACCTCCACCCTCTGCTTGTAAACGGGCATTTTTATAGCTGCGATATCCCTATCAGCGGTCAGTGCAGCCAGACATCACGGCACCTAGGCGACTGTGACCCAGTGAGAATCAGGGATGGTGGCAGGCAGACGGCCCTGCCCTGGTGCGAGGCACCTTTGGATGGGTGGCTCTTTTTCAGAGCTAGCTCATCTCATACCGTCATTCTGCTCCGAGACCTACCTCCACACACCAGGGCTCCCCAACCTTTTGGAGGGAGTAGCTCCTTTTCATGTCCCTGAAGACTTGAGTGCTGACAGTGAAGTCTGAGGGGGGGTAGAAGTGCTGACAGTCATGTCCCTGAGTGCAGCAAGGGAGGGGGCTCTGCTGCCAGGAAGAAAGGGGAACAGAGTGAGGCTCGGGAGGGGACCGCGGTCACCAAGGCATACACAGTCCCCAGCCTGACTTCCTGCCCTAGCCCGCATTTCTCTAGAAGCTGCACATAATGAAGATCACAGTTCCCAACGCGAGCCCAGAACTCTTCCACCTCCCTGCTGGGTAGGGTCAGCAGGGCACCTCAAACAAAAGCCCCCTCCATGCGGCCTTCCTGCTGGGGCCCCAGCCCTCCCGCTCTCCTGACCAGATGTGGCTGCTCCTTCCTCTGAGCCTCCAGAGCCACCTAGCTGATGCCCTTCCTCTCAACTTACCTTACTGATGCTTCTATTAGCTGAACTATGTGAAACTGCTGGCACCCACCCTGAAAGACTTAACGGGCATAAGGGTCCGCTCGACACTTGAGCTGTTGGTGGCTATGATGCATCCAACGCCCTTCTTCATCTCTGCACAACTACAAGGCTGGGTGAAGAGCAATGATGCCATCATCTCTGAAGCCCTCGGAAGACGGGACAGCACACACCTTCAGTGCTGGGAAGCAGGTGCCGAATGGCATTTCGAGGCCACTGAAGCCCTACGTATCCCAAGAGCTCTGACAGGGTACTCACTGCCTCCTCCACCCTGGGCCTTGGATGGGAATGTGCTTGCTAGTCCATTCTTCCTCACAGCCACTCAGGAGGTAGGAGTGCTATGCCCATTTCACAGAGCAGGAAACTGACTCAGAGACGTTAAGGAGCATGCCCAAGGTCACAGAGCTAGTCCTGGTAGAGGAGAGTAGAGACCACGTTTGAACCAACTCACGGAAACGGCTGCTGTGTAAACCTGTCTGCCTGCCCAGGTGCTTTCCGCGGCTCTACATACAGGGTAGATAGTTTAAAGCTGAATTTAGGGGTATAAAGAAAGACCTGGGGGCCAAGAGGCACTATTTCACAACCAGGAATCAGCACCCTAATGTCCCTTACAGGGGAGGGGATCCAGGCCTTTTATGTTCATCATAAAAGATACATTGTGTCTTCTCTCTATTCCCACCGTTCACATTTTTATATACAAAGGAACCAGAGCAGCCCTGGTGATGACGCATAACCCCACACTGGGGGAGAATTACAGGTTCAAGGTCAGCCCAGCCACTTAGTAAAACCTTATCTCAGAATAAAGGGGGGGGGATCAGCACAGTGCAAAGGTTCTGGGTTCAGCCCCCATGTCACCAAAAAGAAAAAGAAAAAAAAAAAAAGAACCCAGCCAGTACACGCCTGAGTTCCTAGCTACTGGGGAGGATGAGGCAAGATTGTCAAGTTTGAGGACAGCCTGGTGACTAAGCAACATAGAGTCTCAAAATTAAGTTTAAAAAGGCTGGTGGTATAGCTCAGCATTGCTTCCATCCCCAGTACCACCAAAATTTTTTTTAATTAAAAAAGTTATCTCACATGCATATAAAAGAAGAGTCCGTGAGCAATTATTTTATCCTTCTTAATTCTGAGTAATAATAATAATTTAGGACTAAGAATATGAGACTGAAGTATCATTCTGAAATTCACTGTTGGAACTATCAGGATGAACACAGTGGGTACAGATGATTCTGGAAGACAGGAAACAGCAGCCACACCCCTGGAAGGCCTTGCCTGGCCACTACACGGCATCCAGTCTCCCCAAGTAGATGAAAGCCACCCAGAGTGCTTTCCCCACAAGAGAGGGGGCCACTCTAGGGCCCCTGCTGGCTGCAGTTTTTAGGGGCCACCAGCAGCTGGCAGCCCAGGAATCTGCCCCCTGGAGAGACAGCACCGTAACCCACTCCCCCCTCTGCCCAAGAAGCAGAGACCCCACCCTGCGCCAAACTCCAGTGAGCACTGGTGAACAGATGTGAGTCAGGAGGCCAACAGGAGCGATCAGCCCAACTTTACAGCTCAGGTGGACATCTCTGCCCTGCTGCAGCAGTGACTCACTGAGTGCCACCCTCAAAGGCAACACGGTTAACCCTCCAATTATTTCTGGCAGAAACCCAGCAACACGAATTTAATTCTTGTCTGTTCCCTTTGTTTCCTAACACAATGCTAAGAGCAAAGATGCAAAGTTCCCAAGGGCGAGTGCCCCAGAGGAGGAGCCTGGAAATGGAACACAGCCAAGCTTTGTCACAGACCACTTCATTTCCTCCCTGGTCCCCCTTGTAGGACTGGGAACAGAATCTTGGGCCTCCTCACTGAGCGACATTCCCAGGTTTTTTTTTTTTTTTTTTTTTTTTTTTTTTTTTTT